CCGCTGCGGACAGGAGGGTCGACAGAAGCAAAGGATCCGTGCTAGCCTACGAGCTGAGAAATTCCAGTAAACCCCGAGCAACAAAGAAGAAGACTTCAGCTAAGAAGGAAGGGAGGGGCCGGCAGAGCACATTGGAGGAGTCATTCACTGGCGCCCTGCATTCTACAAGAAAACGATAAGGCTCGCGTTATGGGACACTGCCACGATTCCTATCGCTCGGGTATGTCAAAGTCTATCGGACTGTTACGACAGGTTTTTTTTTAAGTTCTTGTCCTATGTACCATCTTGTATAATCTACATTCCCCAAAGTGCCCCACCATTTGTCCATGCAGGAACTGGAATATGCAACGAATGTCAACCCATAAAGAAGAATAAATTATGATCGGGAATGACATTTCATAGTAAAATAACTAAAGGCTTTGTGAAGCTGCATGGATCTTAAGGGTAATGAAAATGTGGCGATGAGTTTTGTCAGTTAGGTTAAGAAATACGCTGTCGTCTGTAATCTTTCGGAGACTGTGATATGTGAATATCCTATTTGATTGGAAGTGTTAAAGATTCCATTTTATGGGTGGACAATTATGTTTATTGCTTCATATTTCTGTTTTTCAGGTATAAAATTAAATATGTTAACAATACTGATGATTTATTGCTGATGTAATAGTTTTCAAAATGAGCGATTTGTAGATATCTATAATTTTATAATTTAGTTATGCTTGAGTTGTGTTCATCAGAGATTTGCGACCTAGCTTTTTTTTATGTGAACGGCTTGGTTGCGTTAATGTAGAAGTAAATCCAAGAGACATTTGCATATTTACGGTGTTCTGCATAATATTATGTATAAAGTAGTGGTGTGCAAATTGTTTGTAGTGGTGAATTATAAGTGCAGATTTATAAACTTTTTAGGGCCTGCAGCATAAAGGCTTTGTATTGTACATTCTCACCAAGTTTACAGACACGTGTTGATATTGTTTTGTTTTCTTCGTCTTCTACGGCTCTCCGGTCTGTATTCGTTCCACGGCCTCCTCAATTCTCCTCTTCCGTTCGGTCCTCTGTTAGGTCCGTCTGTCCAAGGCTTTGATCGAGGTTTCGAAACATCTTCCTTTTTACGGTGCAAGGTTGTTAGCCTTGCGACCAACCCCCAACCTGGAGGACCAGGGTACCTGTCTTAGTCAGACCTCTCCCCCTCAACCAATCTGGCTAGGGAGGCTCTACCAGTAGCTCTTGGGGTCACTGAGGTACTCAAGCCCCACCACCATGACAAGGTGCAGGTCTGTAAACTTGGTGAGAATGTACCATTGTTTTGTTTTAGAAAAAACAAAATACTTATGAAGTGCTTGCGTCTCATTCTATTTGTGATCTTCTGAGTTGTGTTGCCACTTAGTTTTGTAGGCACTAACCGATGTATACACTTCGTAAATTCCTCCTAAAAATCTGTGGATTATTTTTGTTTAAAGTTTTCCTAATGTCATAATCATTGTGGGTGGCGTTTTACTGGGGGAGGTGGTCCCCCCTTTGAAATTACACAAGGAGTTTTTCTTCGGAGACTTTCGTGGGTACAATACGAGGGTGGTGTTACACGGATGGGTGCTGTGTTGGGGCTTGACCGTAATTTTCTTAACAACAGATTGTTCAGTGACATGGCGTTTGATGTTTTCATACTTTTAGTGGTTAATACGTGAATTGTGGTCTGCTGGTTGAATGTTAGCGACCAATTACAAGACTGTGGTGTTGCAGCGCAGAAGACCACAGTCCACTCGTTTTTTGATAATCTATGTTAGAAAGGTATCGTTAATTTTAATTTCGGTACACGTTAATGAATAGTGATCTGAAATTAATGATGTACTTTTGAACACGTTTTAGTTCAGGGGTTTTTGACCTTTGATCTGCTGATGTATCTTGTGTTTTCCATTTATGTTTTTTTGTGTTATTGCATCATTTTGTGTAATGAAAAATTTGATAATATGTGTATATTTGGCAGTACGTGATGCTGTGAGCAACTGTTAAACTTGTTGAAGACCGTCAAGTTTGGAAGTAGGAGGTGTCGTACGTCGTACTGACATGCTTGGGGAGGAACGTGTGAATAGGAACAAGAGAAATTAAAGCTGATTTTATAAGATTACTCAATTAAGTGGCAAATATCTCAAAATTGAGTGATATTTTTAAGAGAAAACTGATGGAATAATATGTGTGACTGTTTGGAAAGTAAGTTGGTAACTTTCTTGATATATTGCCGTGAAGTTTCAAGAAATCGCCCTCATTTATAATCTTTTAGCTCACGAATGTATAAGCAATGGTATGTGGCCCTATGTTATGAAAAGGTTGGGAACCCCTGGTCTAAAGTGATCCTGCTCGCCTGAATATGGTTTCAGTTCAGTGGAGAGACTGAATCTGTTACTGGGAATGTCAGAACAAACAGTTGTATGTTTATTGAATGATTACCATTTTTTTTACCTTGATGGGACACATTTGTAACTTTGCAGGTTTGAAAGATAGAAAGTTATTACTTTAATAATTGTTTAGTGTTGGCTCTTAAATACTTTTTTCTGGAATTGAGTGTTCGATTTGTGTCTACTCAAAAGGGAATATTTAATGAATTTTCAAATTTTTTTGAGGTATTTGATTGCTTTGTCTTGTCTCAAATGTGTATGACGTTATTATACGTCAAAACAAACTAATTATAAATGCCAATAGCAGTAAGAGAATTCTGTTGTCTTCTTCGTAGTGATCGACTCCTGCAGTTTAACGTTTTATTACGTACATAGAACAACTTCAGATGCCACAGCACTACAGACAAAAAAATGTCTAATAATGTATGTCTTCTGTGAATAGTCGTGATCTTCTATGATCCATTGATGAACAGTTCTCAGTAGACTAGAAGTTTAAAATAAGACAATTTAAGTTCTGTTGTCACAAATGTCTAGTCAGTTATGTTTAACCCTGCTAATACTGGAATTATTTACATTCATTAAAGATCAAAGGTGGTTGATTTGTATACCATTTTTCACATTAATTATTCATTGTTTATTATGTATGAGTAGGATTATTGGAATTATCTATGGGTAGGGTCCGCAGTGGCCGTGCGGTCTGAGGCGTGGGCCTCTTGCCGCTTGGTTGCTGGGATCGTGGGTTCGAATCCCACTCAAGCCATGGATGTTTGTCCGCATTTTTCTGTGTTGTGCTGTCCTGTGTACAGGTAGAGGCCTTGCGACGGGCCGATCCCTCGTCCAAAGAGTCCTACCGAATGTCTACAGATTGAACCAACGAAAAGTTGGGACCCGCAGTGTTCAGGCACTTGAAGAACGGGTCGATCCCAATATCTATGGGTAGTTTTAATTTCTTTTGGAGTGAACATGTTTATTTTGAAATATTAACTTCAAGAAAGTTAAATTAGCACTTACCATGGACATTTTTCATCTTCCCATCATCTGTATAGTGTATTTGAAGTTTCCCAAAATGTTGTATTTTTTAAAACAATAAATGGAATAATAGAGAATGTCCATAATATGTGGAAACTTCGTAATATGTGGTGAGATTTAGGTTATCACAGGAATGTGTATGAAGATGCCAGACTTCTGGATTATTTCATCTTACAGTCTGGTAGAAGTTTGCTGATGTTTGGATGATCAAATCGAGAATCAGAAGGGTGGGTATGTACCACATGTGGAGATGAGAAATACCTACACAATCTTGATTTGACAAATGTGAATGGAAGAGGCCTATTGTAAGACCTTAACTTAGATGGGAAGATAATATTAAAATGAACTTCGGCAATTTGTGGTTGCAGATTGGATTCTTCTGTTCTAGGTTGTGGACCGTTGGCAGGCTGTGGTGAAAATAGTAATGAGCTTTTGGGTTTCATGAAAGATAGGTTATGTCTTGAAGAAGATCATCAGTTGTATTGGTTTAATCGGTTCCTTCCTTCAATTTTTTTCGAGACATGTTTTGTAAGGAGTATTTTGACAAACGTTTAAACAATAATTTAAACAAACGTGAACTATGTAATGGCAATCATGCTAGCGAAAGATACTAAACATTCAGATGACGTCATAGAGCAAATGTCGATGCCATTGGCTACATTTTTCACTATATCGCTGGTGACAAATCGCATCGTTTCGACTGTCGGTACAGAACGTGGACGGCGAAATGTCGTAACCAAAGAAGTGTGGTGTGCGTGTTGTTAAGGAAATCTTTGTGAATAAGTTAATAAATATTTTGTGGTAGTGTAGTGTATTAACCGCGTGTGACAATGTTTTGTCATTACGAAATAAGTTTTGTGCGTTTGGTTACTAACAGTAGGGTTAATGTACTGTTGGAGCTGTCTTGAAAATTAAATATGGACGGCAAGCTTTTTGTGTAGTGTCAACAGCATCATGAAGAAACGGAGACCATGTAAGTAACAGCTTAATGCCTTCTAATAATTTGCATATAATATCGAGTTGTGTAGTATTGTTAATCATCAGGTATGTGATTTTTATATTAACGTGGAGTCTTATATTTAAATTTAATTTGAACGAACTTTGTACATATTTCGCCATTGTTTTTCAACCTTTCTTTATAATTCGCCATTTGGAAGGTCCAAGAAAACCAAGTGGGACTGAGACTGAATGGGACACATCAACTTATTGTCTATGCTGATGATTTAACTCTTTTGGGTGAGGGGGATGTCGTAAACGACTGTTCCTGACGAAACAGATCTGAAGTAGTGCTGATAATGCTGTTTGCCTGAATTTTGGCGTTTCAATAGGTGCCACCATTTCGGAGAAACATTCCGTCTCTATCTTCAGGGCCGCTTCAGCCCTGAAGATGGAGGCAATATCCTCAAATCTTACATGAATTAGTGTTATTTTGAAACGAGTGTCGATCCATATCGTCTGATCTGACAGTTTGTTGTCTCGTAGGGGATTACTAACGTTTCGGAGGGACATTTAACGTCCATCATCAGGGTAGAAGTGTTTTGTTCCTTGAAGTGTTGGTAACCACCTATAAGATGGCGTGGCGTCACAACCCAGAACACCGAGAATCACATTTTCACCGTCGTGAAAATCCCAATCTTTGTAAATTGTGTTTTTTTATATTGTTCTCTCTGTGTAATAAATATAGCGTTCCTTTATTCTGAAACACGTTTGGAAAGTAGCACCTCAGCGGATTTACAGGGGCTGTGTAATAAAACAGGAATGGGGAGTTCGTGATGGTTTAAAAAGAAACTTGAGGGCGAGTATGCATAAAATAAAAATATCTGCAGCCCGTGCTGTGGCTATGAACATAACTTCTGGTTTAGAAAGAGACGGCGAAACAAAATATTATGCATAAATGTTTCTGAATGGTTGCATGCAAAAGGGGCTTATGTCATATTTTTAAACTCACATTGAATTCTTTTGATTTGTGAACTCTCGTCGAGGCGTTTCGCAGGGTTTAAATGTGCCCTATTCTTCGTCATTCTAAATTGGTGGACACGTATTGATCGGCCTTGTATTTATTCGAATTAAAACAGACCCAGAGTCCAATGACAAACAACTATTCTGTTCAATGAACAGAACAGTTGATGAAAGATTATCGGGTTACAAGCCACGCCAGGTGGCTGAACGGTGAGTAGACCGTACATATCTTCTGCCAACGTTTCGAGAACAATCTGTTCTCATCCTGACGCGGCTTGTAGCCCGATAATCTTTCATCAACTATTCTGTTCATTGAACAGAATAGTTGTTTACCAAATCCCCTGTAAACCGAAGACGGTGATATTCACGATACTTTAACTATTTCCTTAAGATATATTTTGTATTTATCTCTTTATCTCTCTCTCTCTCTGTCTCACGCATGTCTACAAAGCATTAATCAAAATGTGCCTCTTTGAGAAAATTTTCGAAATTAGATGTGAACTCCGTAAAAGGTAGGGTAGCGACGCTTATGTAAACAGAATTTCTTTATGATCTTTAAATTAAAAAAACCTTTTATTTGATATATTTTAAAGATACCTATATATTTTTTGGTATATTTATGGTTGCCCGGGTGTTTATGATTTTTTATTTTACTTTCATTTTTTAAAATGTTTAATTTTTTCCTGGATTTTTTTTAAAAAGAAGGCTAAGATAAAATATTAAGTTGTTTCTGTGGTATTAAGCACCACACCTTGAAGACGTAGGGCCAAATGAAGGTATAGCTCCATGTTTCCTTAACCTCGGCATTATATGGTAATGCGAGGTCTTGTTCACACGCTGGCCAATTTAACCCCGGTGAAAGAGTCCCTGTATCCATTTGTTTGTTGGTGGAACTAGAAATTACGGATAAGAGAGAAATTCAGTCCTTCAAGGAATCCAGTCAGCCCGTATCGAGTGATTACATTGAACGAGCTGTCTCTTCAATATCATAAACTTTTAAGCAGTTTGCAGGCGAGCTGTAAGGGACAGTCAGATGCAGCATTCTGGGGCATTAGACACCCGGTCTACTGGGGAGTTACGCCCTTGTTGAACGCTAGTAATGGAATAAAAACATGTCGGATGAATCTACGCTTGCATTGTGCTGCCATCCTTGAGCGTGTAAGTGAAACTCGATTGATTTATTACGACCAGCTACGACGATGTTGTCGCTTTCCCAGCAAACTGTTTCAGCCGTAATAAATTGTCAGATTCTTCTTGCACAGGGATATAGATTTTAAAATATTAAAAAACGAACACGATGTTTTGCGAAATGTTGTATTGATATATGCGTAGAGGGATGGTAGGGTCTGACGGCGGAGAAAATGTCGATCTTTATCTTCCGGGTAGTACAGATATCAAAAACTCTGTGCGTTATGACTACGAAGACCTACATCGATGTTTCATTTCGGTCTGAATCTCAAAGACAGCCGCCATTTTACCGATCTATCGTGGTTTTATTCAGGACCATTGGAATGACGTAACGGTAAAGTTTCGTTAGTAAGTTAATGGCTATTTGCCCAGAGACGGAATTACTAATGATTGCTTGATTCCAAGGTTAGTTTCTTCAAATGGAAGTGTACCTAAATCCGGTATGACGAGATCGTGGAAGTAGGTGGAGGCGTATTTTAAGGTATCATCTGTCCTACGATGACGAAGGACAGTTGTGGATTATAAACGTACTTAAATTGCGCATTCATTTTGTTTATAGTTTAACATTTACAAATAAGGCGGTGATATTTGAGATGATATTAGTAAATTTTAATGTTGTCGGATTCTGTTTTTGTGGAAATTGTACGCAAAATGTATTAATGAGTAACGTAATTATTATTAGTTGTTATAGATCCATCATACGTGTGTTGGAACATTTAAGAGCAAGTGGGCGTCTTGGAATGTTTCCCGTAACATCTCGTAATAAGTAGAATTACCTGAAGGATTGAATAGCAGAGGCAGTTCTCAATCTTGGACGATTTGATTACGGGTTTCGTAGCGACGTCCCCGAAACTACAAATGTCATGGAGTGTTCAGTAAGAATGCTGAATGAGTATAGATTTTGAAGTAACTTGTCGTGTCTAAAGATAAGTTAGTATTTTATTAGAATTTTAGAGACTGAGGAAAACAGAGATGTCAGCCAGATAGCTTAGTAGAGAATCAAACTAGCAACTACTGTTTCGCCAGTTGTAAAAGCGAAGTATTTTGACTAGATGTGTTAATGTACAGTAGTCAAATATTTATGTTTTTCTGAACAGATGTAATTGAATTTGAAAGTCCTCCCCCCCATACACACACTGATGTGGTATTTGGTGCGTAAATAAAGAAATAACTTGCTACAGAGGTAATTTTAACGTAGGAGGAATGAGTGTAATTTATTAGTGAAATGCTTTGCGTAAAATGGAAAAAATCTTTCAAGACATAGATTTGATTTCAAATGTAAAAATAAATCCAGGAATTTAAATATTTGTTCTTCTATTTGCGGGTGGCGGAGAGCTGAAAAATTTCAGTTCACTTGAAAGATTGTTTTCACAAACTTTTCGAATTGAAACGAGGTGTTGATGAAGAATTGCATTTAATCCCTTGAAGTCGAAGCTCGCATAAATAATATTTAAGAATTCAGTCCGTACCGCGAAGAAAACACCACACTTCACCATTACAAGGATCAACTGGTTAACGCTGTTTAAGGAAATAATCGCTGTTTACATTGAGAAACATAGTTCGTCTGATTAATATTAAAGAATTCAGTCCGTACCGCGAAGAAAACACCGCACTTCACCATTACAAAGATCGACTGGTTAACGCTGTTTAAGGAAATAATCGCTGTTTACATTGAGAATCATAGATCGTCTGATTAATATTAAAGAATTCAGTCCGTACCGCGAAGAAAACACCGCACTTCACCATTACAAAGATCGACTGGTTAACGCTGTTTAAGGAAATAATCGCTGTTTACATTGAGAATCATAGATCGTCTGATTAATATTAAAGAATTCAGTCCGTACCGCGAAGAAAACAC